GACAGGGAAGAATGCGATAAGATGAACTGCAAAACAAGTTATTCCAGATTTGTGCACATCACTCTGAACAGTGATATTAAAAATGTTGACAGAGCGTTAGAACGGCGTTAAGCAATGCTGAGTAATGATAAGTATGTAAGAGAAGAATTATTGTTACAAAACATCAAAGGGTTTAAACAGAAAAGTTATGGCCCAATTCTATTGAGTACTCCTTCTTGTTCCTTGGCGAAATTCATGTTTTAAGATTGCCAGACTCAACGAATAGAAAGCCACATGCGATAACTTACCGTTTGCAACATATGATAAAACGCCGAAGTTTTGGTGGTTTTCGTTGGATTTTCGGTGAGATAACGAAGACCTTCAAGCACATCTTCAACAAAAGCCTCCAGTACACCATCTTCACACATTCTCAGTGTAATTGGGACTCTTGCTGCTTCAGGAGATAAAAGAGGATCGACATGCCATCCCTTAATCAACAGCACCATCAGTGAAAAGGTTCAGAAAGGTAGGTAATTATACCTTTGTGGTCATAAAGTCAACAAGAACGTATATGTCTCCAATACTAGTTTCAAATGCCACAATGCAAAGATCGGCTGCACCCCTTAGCGTTATTCCATCAATATCCGAGAGCAGCTCGGCGAGACGGCGGGTAGTTTCAACCACGCGGTTACAGGCATTTATGTAACCATCACGTCCCTGAAAAAGTACGACTGCTAAATGGATAGGAGAGAATCTTCGAAAGGATACCAACGTAAGCTGGAAAGAAGATAAAACCGTAAAAACTGAAGATGGACTGGCTAACTTTGCCTAGAAGTGTAGCCCATGCAGTTGCAACAGCGCCTCCATCACGACCACCGGCAAGTGTTGGTGTCGCATAAACACCCCCAGCCCAGTCACTATTGCAAAAACACTGATGGCGCATCATCGACTGGTCGCGATACATAAGAACCGAACAAGAACGTGGAGCTTGGCCATACTATAAAACGAATTCATTAATGGAATTTTTCACAAAAATTACATACGCGATGCAAATCTATGGCAATTGAAGTGACTCCGGGCAATCGAAAATCGAACGTTGGGATTGAATAGTCACAATACTCCATGAAAGGTAGTAGAAAACCACCTAATGTACAGTCTACGTGCAATGGGACATCAAATCGTTGTGCAACCTACAAAAAGTATTTTAGAAAAAAGCTTAGTGAAAGCACAGGTAACTTAAACTTAACCTCAGAAAGCTTTTCGATTGGATCCACAGTCCCTGTGATGTGATTTGGCGCCGAAGCAACAATCTTTATTTGAAAAAATTTTGCAGGTATGAAAAAGGTGTTTTTAGTTGTACCATGCATGTATGTGGCCCGATTGCTCGTTTGACAGCAGCGGCATGTACTCGATCATCCTCCCTTACGGGTATACGCCTAACCGTCATTCCAAAAAGGTTGGCAGCTTTGTCCAGAGCTGGATGAGCAGTGGAAGGTGCTACGATCTCTGGACGATACATTCCTCTGGCCCATGCTCGGTTGCGGTAAGCTAGATGCAAGTAGCTTGTTCAGATGCATTTGCAAACCCTTTCCATCTGACAATCAATGTGCCCAGTTATAAAACAAAACTTATTACAAAAATAACGTTCAAATAAAATACAGAGT